AGCTGTTACAGATGCTAGCCAGAAAAGTGCCAGGTCCTGGGACAAGTCCCATAACTAGCATCAGAAAATCTAGATAGCAGTTGGTAAAATGTCTACTGCACCTAAGAGCCCGGAGCATTTTTGTAAGGAAAATTGGAGACAGGAAAGTGTAAGTTGTTTACATTGAACCTACATGGCTGTAAATAAGAGGGGTGGGATAATGTGAACTGGGGGAAATTTTGGGGTAGGAATACAGTCCACAGGAGAAGCACTTGTTGCTTTTTTATTGCTTGTGGTTAATTGTCCCAAAAGTTCATATGTGACCTTTAGGTGGTTTTGCCTGGGGGTTAGTGCCTGGCTTTTAAGTCAAGGTTTGAACATATATTCAGGAATATGGAGCAGATTTTTGTTTCTTTTGGTCCACAATTGTTAACAGACTATTTCTTCCCTTATTTCTTCCTCCTCCATCCTCTGGCCCTGGTAATTAAGCTTGGGACATCTCAGCATTTTTGTTTTATCAGCGGTAGGCCAATTTCTTTAAAGCCTGCTTGGAATTATGCTGAATCTTAGTCAATTTGGCAAGAATTGATACCTTAGTAATACTGATTGTCTCAGTTCATGAACACGGTATATCTGTCCTTTTATTTAGGTTTTATTTCATTTCTTTCAGCAATGCTTTGCAGCTTTAAGTATAAAGATCATTCAAAATCTTTATGTTAAATATATTCTCAGGTATATTTTTATGTAGTTGCTTTTAAATTTCATTTCCATTTATTTGATGCTAAATACAGAAATGCAAATAATTTTTCTGTATTGACCTTATACTTTAAAACTTTGGTAAACTCTATTCTGGTAGTTTTTGTTCTTGTTGAGATTGGTGATTATTGGTGATTATTTAAAAAATTCCTAAGGAATTTTTAAATAAGCTTTTTTATTTTAAGATGTATTTATTTTTTATATTTATTTGAAAGGCAGAGTGACAGAGAAGAGAGACAGAGAGAAAGAGAGATCTTCCATCTGCTGGCTCACTCCCCAGATGCCCATAACAGCTGAGACTGGGCCAGACTGAAGCTAGGAACCCAGAGTTCCACCTGGGTCTCTCACATGGGAGGCAATGACACAAGTGCTCAGGTCATTATCCACTTCCTTCCCAGCGGCATTAGCAGGAGGCTGGATTGGAAGCAGAGTGGCCAGTACTTGAATTGGCACTCCATTATGGGATGTGGGCATCCAGAGCAGCAGCTTAACCCACTGTGCTACAACACCCACCCCCAAACAAACTTTATTTTAGAATTGTCACAGGTTTACAGAAAAATTACAAAGACAGTACAGAAGCTTCCAACATACCCCACATCCAGTTTCCCCTATTGTTAACATGTTAGTGTGGTACCTGTGTCACAATTAATGAAGCAATATTGATACATTTATTAAGCAAAGTGCATATTTTATTCAGATTTCCTAAGTTTTTACCTACCTCTATTTTCTGTTCCAGGATCCTATCCAAGATCCCATGTTACATTTAATTATCATGTCTCCCTAGGTTCTTTTTGCTTGTCACAGCATTTCAGGCTATCCTGGTAGTTTTGAAAGGTATTGGTCAAATACTTTGTAGAATTGTTCTTCAGTTGGAATTTGTTCATGTTTTTCTCATGATTAGACCAGGGTTATAGGTTTATTGGGAGGAAGACTGAGGGGGTGAAGTACCATTCTCATCACAGCATATAAAAGTTTTAACATGACTTACCACTGCCAGTGTAGTGTCTCCTGAAAATTTTCTCTGTTAACAGTCATGCCCTTGGTTAGGGACATTTCTTCTTTTCCAATCTGAATTTTTTTTTTTCTTGTTGTCCAAAAACATAAGGCCAGTGTTAAACTTAGTATCAGTTTTCTTAGAGATGCCTTTTTTTTTCAGCTTGAGTAAGTTCCCTTTATAACTGGTTTGCCCAGTTTTTGACATGAGTGTTGGCTTTCTTTTCAAGTGCTTCTGCAGTAACCAGGCAAATAATCATATGGCTTTTCTCTTTTATCCTGTTAAAGCAGGAGTCAGCAAACTTTTCTGTAAAGGATCAGATAGTAACTATATTTGGCTTATCTCAAAAGCAGCAGTAGACAATACGTAAATGAAGGGATGTGGCTGGTTTACCAAGACAAACTGCAGTCTGATTGTGCTGAGGGGCCATAGATTCCTGACTGTTGTATTAAATCATCTTTGTATTCCCGAAATAAACCACATTTGGTCAAGACATATTATCTTTTCTTTTTTTTAATAAGACTCAATTTGCTAGTGTCCTGTAAAGCATTTTTGCTTCTGTGTTCATGTGGAATATTGATCTGTAATTTTATTTTCTAATAATTGCTAAAAAAAAGTTTACATTTCTGTTAGGCTTATGCTAGCTTCATAAAACAAGTTGGGAAGTATTTTTTCTCTTTGTTCTAGAAGAATTTATATAAAATTACTATCATTTATTCTTTTTTTAAAGATTTTATTTATTTACTTGAGAAGTAGAGTACTCCCCAGATGGCCACAACAGCATGAGCTGCGCTGATCTGAAGCCAGGAGCCAGGTGCTTCTTCCAGGTCTCCCACATGGGTGCAGGGGCCCAAGGACTTGGGCCATCTTGTACTGCTTTCCCAGGCCACAGCAGAGAGCTGGATTGGAAGAGGGGTAGCTGGGACTAGAACCTGGCGCCCATAGGGGATGCCATGGCGCCACCCCCTCCATCATTTATTCTTTAAATGTTTCATGGAATTCACCAATCGATCTTCTCAGCTTGACATTTTCATTTTTTGGGGAGATCTTTAAATAAATCCATCTATTTTTGATAAGTGGAGAATGATTTCTTAATCACATAATTTAGTTTTACCTGCTTTTGTACTTTCTATAAATCTTTTTTTTTTTTTTTTACAGGCAGAGTGGACAGTGAGAGAGAGAGACAGAGAGAGAAAGGTCTTCCTTTTTCCGTTGGGTCACCCCCCATGGCTGCTGTGGCCGGCGCACCGTGCTGATCCGAAGCCAGGAGCCAGGTGCTTCTCCTGGTCTCCCATGGGGTGCAGGGCCCAAGCACTTGGGCCATCCTCCACTGCACTCCCGGGCCACAGCAGAGAGCTGGCCTGGAAGAGGGGCAACCGGGACAGAATCCGGCGCCCCGACCGGGACTAGAACCCGGTGTGCCAGCGCCGCAGGTGGAGGATTAGCCTATTAAGCCGCGGTGCCAGCTTCTATAAATTTATTTTTTAAAAACAGTTTTGCTTATTTGAAAGGCAGAGTTAGAGAACGAAGGAGAGACAGAGAGATTTTCCAAATAGCCACAACAGCTAGGGCTGGGTAAGCTCAAAGCCAAGAGCCAGTAGCTTCTTCCAGGTCTCCTATAGCTTCTGCTGCTTGCCCAGGCACATTAGCAGGGAGCTGAATGGGAAGTGGAGCAGCTGGGACTTGAACCATTGCTCATATGGGATGCTGGTGTTGCAGGCAGTGGCTTAACCCATTGCACCACAATGGTGGCCCCAAATCTAATCCTATAATATAGTATACCCTTGTGTTTTGCTCCTTCCCGTCCTAGAGGGAAACTGCTAGTTCACACAGGGCTTATTTGTATTTCTGTCTTAACTTGTGTGACCAAATGTTTATTAGCAAGATTTTAAACAGAGAAGTCTTTGATGAAGAAAGGAAGAAAGAAATCAACAAGCTACTTGTACTTAGTGAAAACACATTGGTTGTTACTAGTTGGTACATGCAAGGTTTTTATTGTTTGAAGGATCTTAAATGGAATGGCTAACTCTCTGATTTTGAAAAGGAGGACAAAAGCAACATCTAGCAGATATTTCTCAATTTAAATGACTGCTCAGCACATTTTGTTTTGGGTGTTTTTTGGGTAATTTTTCTTTTTTGGTCTAATAGCAAAAGTTTTTAATTTTACTTTTCATTTAGGAAATTTTTTTTTGACAGGCAGAGTGGACAGTGAGAGAGAGACAGAGAGAAAGGTCTTCCTTTACCATTGGTTCACCCCTCAATGGCTGCTGCACCCGGCGCACCGCGCTGATCCGAGGCCAGGAGCCAGGTGCTTCTCCTGGCCTCGGGGCCATTTAGGTAAATTTTTCTTTTAACTTGAAAGGTGGAGACACAGGCAGAGAGAGATTTTCCATTTGCTGGTTCATCCCCAGATGCCTCCAGTAGCTGGGGCTGTACCAGGCAGAAGCCAGGAGCCTGAAACTCAGTTTGGGTCTCCCACATGGATAGCAGAGACCCAATTACTTGCGCCATCACTTGCTGCCTCCTAAGGTGCACATTAGTAGGGTGTTGTTATCAGAAGCAAAGTTGAGGCCGGCGCCGCGGCTCACTAGGCTAATCCTCCGCCTAGCGGCGCCGGCACACCGGGTTCTAGTCCCGGTCGGGGCTCCGGATTCTGTCCCGGTTGCCCCTCTTCCAGGCCAGCTCTCTGCTGTGGCCAGGGAGTGCAGTGGAGGATGGCCCAAGTGCTTGGGCCCTGCACCCCATGGGAGACCAGGAAAAGCACCTGGCTCCTGGCTCCTGCCATCGGATCAGCGCGGTGCGCCGGCCGCAGCGCGCTGGCCGCGGCGGCCATTGGAGGGTGAACCAACGGCAAAGGAAGACCTTTCTCTCTGTCTCTCTCTCTCACTGTCCACTCTGCCTGTCAAAAAAAAAAAAAAAAAAAAATCAGAAGCAAAGTTGAGACTCAAATCCAGGCACTCCAATATGGGATTTGGGCTGTGGGGAGCAACTCGGACTAGACTGAGTTACTGGAATTAAGACTTATTCTGTGCATCTGCTCTCCCACAATATGGCGCTGGGAGAGAAGAAAACAGCTTCTACACAGCTGCCTCCAGTTCAGCCAATAAACTGTAGGACTTGCTCCTGATTGGAGGAGAGCAGCGTACTCGGCGTGTGGGCAGCCGAGTTGGGATTGGCAGAGGAGGACTATAAAGGAGGAGAGAGACAGCATGCACCAGGAACATCTAAGGGGAACACCTGTGCAGCCCCCGAGAGAGCCGGCCGGTGGTGTGCCGCTTCCCTGCGGAAGTGGGGAATGTGGCAGGGGGAACCGCCCTTCCACGGAGGTGGAAGGGACAGTAGCCAACCCGGGAAGAACCAGCAGCAAACCCGGGGAGGGCTGAGCAGACAAAAGAACAGGCAGGGTTTAGTGTCGTTCCTCCATGAAGAGGGGGAGCGACATAATGGTGCCGTGACTCGGATATGAAGCCTAGGCAGGGTTTAGTGTCGTTCCTCCACGAAGAGGGGGAGTGACATTGGGCATCCCAAGCAGTGTTGCAATTGCTGTACCAAATGCCTGGCCCTGCTCCTCACCTTTTGAACACTCTTGCCACGCTTGGGGAATTCCTTATGTTCTGAGTCCTGCTTTCAAAGCCTCCCTTGCTGTAATGGCTCAGCACATGCCTTAGAGCTCTGCTAATCAGAGACACCCGTACAATTCTTCCAGTAGGAAGAACATGAAACAAGGTGAAAAGGCTTGGCATCTCAGCCTTCATATTGTGTATGTTTGTTTTGCCGCATTAATCTCGGGGTCACACTGCTTCTGCTCAGCCCTGCGTGTATACATCAGTCACTGGTGGAATTCTGCTTGCAATACGAGTTTTCTGAAAATAGGTCCTTACGCAGAGCTCTCCTACTCCTGAAGAGATAAGGAGGTAAGCGCAGAACTAATGCTTACTTTGTGCAGAATTTACTGGTGCAACTTGACCAGACCCGTGTCTCCAAAGTCAGTTAACCGGAGACAGGGGTTCACAATCCTTCCCAGGCCCTTGCTGACATCCAGGATCTGTGGCTATCCCTCATTTTTTACCTTACCCTCCTCCCCTTTTCATACTATATGTCTTGAAAACAGTCTTTATAGGGGCCAGCACTTGGCGTAGAAGGTAAAGCCTCTGCCTACAGCACTGGCATCCCAAATTGGTGCTGGTTCGAGTCCTGGCTGCTCCACTTCCGATCCAACTTCCCATTAATGCTCCTGGGAAGGCAGTGGAGGATGGCCCAAGTGTGTGGGAGATCTGAATGAAGCTCTTGGCTTCGGCCTGGCCCAGCCCCAGCCATTGCAGACATTTTGGGACGTGAACCAGCAGATGGAAGATTCTCTCTCTCTCTCTCTATTTCTACCTTTCACATAAATAAATCTTTAAATGAAAAAGAAACCAGTCTTAAAATGCCTAGGCAAGATGGTTTTCTTAGAATGCCAGGCCCTCATTCTCTCCTGTTGCCAGCACTTTGTATAAATTTGCTTTCTTTGCTTTAAACTCCGCCCTTGAGTTATGAGCTTTTTCATGCAGTGGATAGATGAACTTGTACTCAGTAAGGAGCTGCAGGAGGAGACTCCTGAATAATTTTTGCTGATTTTCAACACATCATTTACTGTGAGGCATAGACATATTTTAGAAAGCAAACAGGATGCTGTTTTTTTTTTTTTAAGATTTATTTATTTTTAAGATTTATTTATTTGGGGCTGGTGCTGTGGCGCAGTGGGTTAACACCCTGGCCTGAAACGCCAGCATCCCATATGGGTGCCAGTTCGAGACCTGGCTGCTTCACTTTCCATCCAGCTCTCTGCTATGGCCTGGAAAAGCAGTAGAGGATGGCCCATCGGATGGAAGACCTCTCTCTCTCCCTCTCTCTGCCATTCCTCTTTCTGTGTAACTCTTTAACATATTTGAAAGGCATAGTTACAGAGAGGCCGAGAGAGAGAGAGGTCTTCCATCCGCTGGTTCACTCCCCAGATGGCCATGACAGCTGGAGCTGCGCCAATCTGAAGCCAGGAGCCAGGAGCTTCTTAGTCTCCCACACAAGGACTTGGGCCATCTTCTACTGCTTTCTCAGGCCATAGCAGAGAGCTGGATCAGAAGTGGAGCAGCTGGGACTCGAATTGGCACCCATTTAGGATGCCGGCACTGCAGGTGGTGGCTTTACCCTGTGTGCGACAGCGCTGGTCCCAGGATGTTGTTTTTGCTCTTAGATAACTTCTGATATAGAAATGTGTTTGGTACCTGTGTGGAAAGGAATGAGAACTCCCCCAAAGAGAGGTCTGGTCTTTGTGGTAACTCCTGTGATTTCCCAAGTGATACAGGCATCTTTGTTGCTTGTGATGGGCCCTTCAGCACAAGATAGTTTATGCTAATGAGGGTCTCAAGGAGAGCTTCTCAGTCCAAGCTTGGGGAGGGTGGGGCTAGAGACATCAGTCCCATGAGCATTCATTCCATTAGCCATGCCCATACAACAAAGCCTCAGTAAAACCGGGACTTTCAAATAAATAAATAAATCTTAAAAAAAAAAAAAAAGCCAACCAGGACTCTGAAGCTCAGGTGGACTCCGGGTTGGCAGCCCTTGGTGCCTGTATCACACATCATGGCAGGAAGGTGGTGTGCCCTGAGGAGGATGGTCACAGTGCTCTCCACGTCATCTCCTTGGCTGCTCTGATTTGTGTCCTTGCCTTGCAGTAAATGTAACCAAGAGTGTACTTGCTTTCAGGCAGCTCTGTGAGTTTTTCTAGCAAGTTGTGGAACATGAGTGTGGTTTTGGGAGCCCCACTTTGTGTCAGCAGTCTTGGCAGACTGGGCCTGCTGGAGAGCTGTGCCTGAAGCTTACAGCTTGGCTGATTCTGGGCGGTGCCCCAGGAAGAAGTCTCTGTGCCTGGCTGTCACTGTCTACAGAACACCTGCCTTTTCTCTTCTCGTTTTGTCTTCCCTTTCTCTTTGTCCCTTTAATTTTTCATTTATATTTCATCCATCCTTTTTCTATTGATCCTTCTCATCCCCCAGTGACACCCATGAGCTTTAGTTAACCTGAACAGTGACACTCAACCATAAAGTGATACTGATTCAGAGAATCCACAGTGGGATGTCTGCATACGACCACTGGGTTACCAGAAGAAAGCAAGACATCTTTAGGTATTTATAGTAATATTTTTCCCTTCAAGGAGTCTTAAAAACCTGAAAATGTAATTTGTAAAATCTGAGCACTTTTTTTTAAAGATTTATTTGAGAGGTAGAGTTATTACAGATAGAAAGGAGGAGAGACAGAGAGGAAGATCTTCCATCTACTGGTTCACTCCCCAAATGGCTGCAATGGACAGAGCTGGGCTAATCTGAAGCCAGGAGCCAGGAGTTCTTCCGGGTCTTCAAGCACTTGAGCCTTCTTCTACTGCTTTCCCAGGCTATTAGCAGGGGACTGGATTGGAAGAGGAGCAGCTAGGACATGAACTGGCACCCATATGGGATCCTGGTGCTGCAGGCAGAGGCTTAACCTTTTACGCCACAGCACCAGCCCCAAAATTTGAACGTATTTGAAAGAAAAATCTGCATTTGTTGAATTATGGTTCAATAGAAGGCCTCTGTCAGTGTTTGGCCACAGTAGTTTGAATACTTGCTGTAAGATAAAATTCCTTTTAATTGTTATTTGGTGGGAAGGGGAAGCAAAATCTACACAGCACCTTTCTATACTCCTTATCTACAGGTTGTACACAGTTGGTGACATGAGTGACACAGAAGATGACGACACTCCTCAGCTTTCTTCCCACGCCTTAGCAGCTCTCCAGGAATTTTATGCTGAGCAGAAGCAACAAGCTGACCCAGGTGCACATGATAAATATAACATTGGAATAATAGAAGAGAACTGGGTAAGTAAATACATTCCACATTCATTAGGAAGTTTTAATGTGGATCCTGTTCTGTGCCTAGTCCAGTGTTTGTGTTCCTCAGTTCCAAAAGCTCCATCAGCTGTCATTTGGAGCTGGTACTGTTGACGGGGGAGTGAAGGCAGAGAGCATTCACAGAACATGTAAGGATGGTACTGAATACAGGTTTTGCTGTTTCTGCCTATCAGGCTGGGATCACAGGAGAGGGCTTTTCAGATAGAAGGACAATAGGTCATTATGTCCAAAACAGATTTGTGTTTCTTTCTTGCATAAAGATACATCCTATTGTTTTTTTTGTTTGTTTGTTTTGACAGGCAAAGTGGACAGTGAGAGAGAGAGACAGAGAGAAAGGTCTTCCTTTGCCGGTGGTTCACCCTCCAATGGCCGCCGCGGCAGGCGCGCTGCGGCCGGCGCACCGCGCTGATCCGATGGCAGGAGCCAGGAGCCAGGTGCTTCTCCTGGTCTCCCATGGGGTGCAGGGCCCAAGCACTTGGGCCATCCTCCACTGCACTCCCTGGCCACAGCAGAGAGCTGGCCTGGAAGAGGGGCAACCGGGACAGAATCCGGCGCCCCGACCGGGACTAGAACCCAGTGTGCCGGTGCCGCAAGGTGGAGGATTAGCCTAGTGAGCCGTGGCGCCGGCTCATCCTATTGGTTTTTTATGAAGGTCAACAATCCTGGTAGAAAGAGGAAAATGAATCATTGCAGTAAATGGGGTAATTGAACTTAAGGATGCAATAAACAAATTAATGGGTGGGCATTTAGTCTAATTGGTAAGATACCACTTGGGATGCCTGCATCCTATATCAAAGCACCTGGTTCAAGTCCCAGATCCACCCTGATTCCACCAGCTTCTTGCTAATGCACATCCTAGAAGGTAGCAGTAGTTGCGTCCAGTTGCTGAGAGACAGTTTTTAAAAAGGTGTTAATAGTTTCTAGTATATAATATTTTAGTTCTTTTTTTAAAAAGTAATTATTTAGGGGCCGGTGAAAGCAGTAGAAGATGGCCCAAGTCCTTGGGCCCCTGCACCCACGTGGGAGACCTGGAAGAAGCTCCTGGCTCTTGGCTTCAGATTGGTGCAGCTCCAACCATTGCGGCCAATTGGGGAGTGAACCAGCAGATGGAAGACCTCTCTCTCTCTATGCCTCTCCTTCTCTTTCTGTGTAACTCTGACTTCCAAATAAATAAATAGATCTTTAAAATAATAATAGTAATAATTTATTTATTTGAAAAGCAGTTAGAGAAAGAGAGAGGGGTCTTTCATCCACTTGTTCACTCCCCAGGTGACTGCAATAGCCAGGGCTGTGCCAGGCCAACTCAGGAGACAGGAGCTTCATCCGGGTCTCCCATGTGGGTGCAGTAGCTCATATACTTGGACCGTCTTTTGCTGCTTTCCCAGGTATATTAGCAGGGATCTGGATCAGAAGTAGAACACTGGGACTTGAACCAGCACTAATATGGGATGCTGGCATTGCAGCGGCGGCTTTACCCAAAGTACCACAAAGTCAGCCCCTTTACTTCTGTTTTTATAGTCACATTTAAACATAGGAATTAAAAAAGATAAAAATAGATTGAGATAAGTTGGAACCCAGAAATTTTTTTCTGAAGTAGAGCATTGAGAAAGACAAGGCTTGAACTTTGTGACTACATCTTAGTAATAGATTTTTCTCCATTACTGTGCATTACTGGAGGAAGCTTTTCTATTGTCATTTTTAATAGTATTTTACATGTGCATCCACTTTGGATTTATTAAATTAAATAAAATTTTCTTGTTTATTCTCTCTTTGAAATGGTGATAAAAATGTTTCTTTTCATTACTCACATGTCCCCACCTACATTGTTATTTCTTTCTTGTATCTTCGTAAGATTTATTTATTTATCTGAAGGGCAGAGTTAGCGAGAATGATTTCTTCCACCCACAAGTTCACTCCCAAAATGGCCCAGCATCTGGAGCTGGGCAGATCTGAAGCCAGGAGCCAGGAGCTTCTTCCAGGTCTCCCATGTGGGTGCAGGGGGCCAAGTATTGGCCATCTTCTGCTGCTTTCCCAGGCCATTAGCAGGGAGCTGGATGGGAAGTGGAGCAGCCGGGACACAAACCTGTGCTCATATGGGATGCCAACATCACAGTTGATGACTTTACCTGCCATGCCACATCACCAGCCCCAAGAATTGTGTTCTTGGGGGGAGGGGGGTGTCCTATCTTTTTGTTTATTCCTTCTGCTTAATTTTTTAAATACTGTGTATTTTTTTAAGATTTTATTTATTTATTCATTTGAGAGATAGAGTTACAGGCAGTGAGAGGGAGAAACAGAGAGAGAGGTCTTCTGTCCGCCAGTTCACTCCCCAGTGGCCGCAACCGTTGGAGCTGTGCCAATCCGAAGCCAGGAGCCAGGAGCTTCTTCCGATCTCCCATGGGTGCAGGGGCCCAAGGACTTGGGCTATCTTCCACTGCTTTCCCAGGCCACAGCAGAGAGCTGGATTGGAAGTGGAGCAACTGGGACTCGAACCGGTGCCCATATGGGATGCCGGCACCGCAGGTGGAGGATTAACCTACTGCACCACAGCGCCGGCCCCAAAATACTGTGTATTTTAAGAGTAAGTTAGGAGAGAGGCCGGTGCCATGACGCAATGGGTTAATCCTCTGCCTGTGGTGCTGGCTTCCCATATGGGTGTCGGTTCGAGTCGTGGCTGCTCCTCTTCCAATCCAGCTTTCTACTGTGGTCTGGGAAAGCAGTAGAAGATGGCCCAAGTCCTTGGGCACCTGCACCCACGTGGGAGACTCCGAAGAAGCTCCTGGCTCCTGGCTTCGGATCCGCACAGCTCCGGCTTTTTCAGCCATCTGGGGAGTGAACCAGCGGATGGAAGACCTTTCTCGGTCTTTCCCTCTCACTGTCTGTAGCTCTACCTCTCCAATAAATAAGTAAATAAACCTTTAAAAAAAAAAAAAGAGTAAGTTAAGGGAAGGGATTTGACACTTAGATTGCCATTTGGGACATCTCCAGTCTGTATTAGAATTCCTGATTTGAATACTGGCTATTCCGTTTCCAGTCCAGCTTCCTGCTAATGCATATCCTAGAAGGCAATATATAATGATGGCTCAAACATGGGTCCTTGCCTCCTTGTGGGAGATTGGGATAGAATTCCAGGGTCCTAGCTTAGGCCTGGCCCAGCCCTGGCTGTTGCAGACATCTGGAGAATAAACCAGTGGATGGAAGATATCTGCCTTTCAAATCAGTTTTATTTTTTTTCTTTTTACTTTTTTAAAGATTTATTTATTTACTTGAAAGTCAGAGATACACAGAGTACGAGAGGCAGAGAGAGAGAGAGAGAGGTCTTCCATCTGCTGGTTCACTCCCCAGTTGGCCAGGAGCCAGCTGCTTCCTTCAGGTCTTCCACGCGAGTGCAGGGGCCCAAACACTTGGGCCATCTTCTACTGCTTTCCCAGGCCACAGCAGAGAGCTGGATTGGAAGTGGAGCAGCTGGGACTCGAACTGGCACCTGTATGGGATGCCGGCACTGCAGGCAGCAGCTTTACCTGCTACGCCACTGTGCCGGCCCCTCAAATCAGTTTTTTAAAAAATTGGGGCGGGCGCTGTGGTGCAGCGGGTTAACACCCTGGTGGGAAGCACCAGCATCTCATATGGGTGCTGGTTCGAGACCTGGCTGCTCCACTTCCAATCCAGCTCTCTGCTGTGGCCTGGGAAAGCAGTACAAGATGGCCCAAGTCCTTGGGCCCCTGCACCCTTGAAGGAGACCTGGAAGAAGCTCCTGGCTCCTGGCTTCAGATCGCCGCAGCTCTGGCCATTGTGGCCGATTGGGGAGTGAACCATCGGATGGAAGACCTCTCTCTCTCTCTCTGCCTCTCCTCTCTCTGTGTAACTCTTTCAAATAAATAGATAAATATTTTTAAAAAATTGAGAAAAAAAATCCCAGGAAATGGATAAAACATGATATCATGATATGAAATATTGTAAAACATTTGCAAATGAAACCTTTATATATTTATGAACTACAGAAAAGAACTATTGTACTGTAAATAAATGCAGTTTGTATTACTTGGCTCAGCAGTGCACACAGATCATTCTGCTAATCAAAACTTTGGGTAGAGCTCTACTGAGAGGGTGAAGGAAATGGGGAACGTGTGTTTGAAAGAGCAAAATCCTCATCTTCCATAATAAATGTGTAACATATGAAGTGGATTACTCAAGAAACAGTATTTAATACCTAATATTGGGGTTGGCATAGTGGATTAAGCCGCCACTTGCAATGCCAGCATCCCATACGAGTGCCAGTTCGAGTCCTGGCTGGTCCACTTCCAATCCAGCTTCCCTGCTAATGTGCCTGGGAAGGCAGCAGAAGATGGTCTTAAGTGTTTGACCTCCTGGCACCCACAAAAGCTCTTGGCTCCTGGCTTCAGCCAGGGCTGCGGCCATCTGGAGAATAAACCAATGGATGGAAAATCTCTCTCTCTGTTTCTCCTTTTCTCTGTGTAACTCTTTCAAATAAATAAAATAAAATACCCAATATATGTAGCTACAGAAGTGAATGCTCGAAGGAGTAGCTCAGAGTTAAAATGTTGACTCCTGTGGAAAGGGCTCCATGGGAGGAAAACATTGAACCAGGAGACTGCTATTTCTCACTTTAAGGCTAATAACACTTTTCTCTTTAGAAGTGTAATGTTATTTATTCAAATGACAGAGTGACAGAGAGGGACAGAGAAAGAAATCTCTCTGCTGGTTCACTCCCCAAATGGCTATAACAGCCAGGGCTGGGCCAAGCCGAAGCCAAGAGGCAGGAACTCCACCCTGCTGTCCCACATGGGTGGCAGGGGCCCACGTACTAGGGTCATTTTCCACTACTTACCAGATACATTAGCCCAGCGCTGTGGCATAGTCAGTAAAGCCGCTGCCTGCAGTGCCAGGATGCCATATGGGCACCGGTTTGAGTTCCGGCTGCTCCACTTCCAATCCCTTTTAAATGTATGGCTCACTGCTTTTTAGCATAGTCACAGATAGGTGAAACCATTGTCAATTTTAGAATACCTCATTGCCTTCTGAGATTAACTCAGGGGTGGGCATGGCAGTGAAGCAGGCTAAGTTGCCACTTGAGATGCCCATATCCCATATCAGAGCGCCTGGTTCAAGTCACAGTAGTCTACACTTACAATCCAGCTTCTTGCTAATGTGCCTGGGAGGCAGCAGATGCTGGCCCACGTGTTTAGGTTGCTACTACCTACGTGGGACACCCGGATGGCGTGGAGCATAGAAAAGGTGCACAGTCCTGATTTTGCTGACTGCATCCCTGTGGTGTCATTGAACACATTCTTCCATCGTCTGGTTCGTAATTCTGTTCACTGGCAGTTGAATCTAGAAGCTTAATTAGATGCAACCTCCGTTTTTCTGCCGACTCTACAAAGGTGAGGTGCGTTCTGACTGGTTGTCGTCATCTTTTGTGGTGGTAGCAACCATTGATAGTCAGTGCCTACATTCCATTAGTTCATTAGGGGCTTGTATGAATGTGAAATGATTTAAAAGAAAATGTAATTGTCAAAATTTTAGAAATTAAAGGCATGCACACTGGTATGGTAGGTATAAATTAAAATAACAAAGTCTATGCCAAAAACAAATGGATATCATTCCTCTGTTACAGCAACTGAGCCAGTTCTGGTATAGTCCGGAAACTGCCCTACGACTCGCACAGGAAGTGATTACAGCTGCTGGAGAAGGTGGCAGGTGGGGTTCAGGTTTTGTTTCTCTTTCTGTCTTCTAACCTAAAGCAGTATTTTGAATGTCCTTCCTAGATGAGAGGTGGTTTGTAGGGAGTCTGAACTGTAATCTGCAAGTATTACAGCTCACAGTTTGTAACACATGAGGATTAGGAGCAGCTTGATACTGAGTGTGGGGACATACCCAGGAATCTATTCATTGTAGAATTTCTTGTCTCTTCATTTTGACATTTTCTAACTTGTTTCTTAAAGTTTACTTTAAAGAGAAAATGTTAGTGTCTTATCATTTTGAAGTTTTAAGAATGTATGTTTTACTTTTTTGTTAATTTGGTTTTTATTTTTATCGAAACTTTGCATGCCTATAACTTAAAAGAACCAAGTGGTTCTAAAAGACATTTATTACTAATTTCCTGTATACCTGTCCCTCTACTTTCAGCTCCATTTCAATTCATTCTTTTGGTATTTGCAATCTGATTTTTTTTTAAGATTTATTTATTTATTTGAAAGTCAGAGTTACGTGCTGGTGTCCCATATGGGCGTCTGTATTTCTTACCCTCTCACCAGAGACAACGAGGACTCAGTTCTGTTATGCTCTACGACTACTGCAAAACATGTGTGCTTTCTGCCCATGCGCCAACAGTTTATACTTTTTTTGCTTAGAACAGGGTTTTTATTGTTCCGACTACCTCCTCAGTGTTCTTTGGAGTTTATCCTTTTAACTTTTTTTTCTTTTTTTGTACAACTGTTCCTATACCTCATTCTTAGTGTATTTATTTATTTTAAACAGGCTTAATTCACTTTATTTTTCTTGTGTAAAAACCTATGTTGTAGCCACAGCTGGAGCCTGGGTCCTCTGCACAGACAGTGTGGTGTGAGTCTTTTTTTTTTTTTTTTTTTTTTTTGACAGAGTGGACAGTGAGAGAGAGAGACAGAGAGAAAGGTCTTCCTTTTGCTGTTGGTTCACCCTCTTGCGGCCAGTGCACCGCGCTGATCCGAAGCCGGGAGCCAGGTGCTTCTCCTGGTCTCCCATGGGGTGCAGAGCCCAAGCACTTGGGTCATCCTCCACTGCACTCCCGGGCCACAGCAGAGAGCTGGCCTGGAAGAGGGGCAACCGGGACAGAATCCGGCGCCCCGACTGGGACTAGAACCCGGTGTGCCAACGCCACAGGCAGAGGATTAGCCTATTGAGTCGCGGCGCCGGCTGGTGTGAGTCTTTATAAGATGGTCCATGAATTCCTGGTAGGGAGACTGGGTGAACACAATCTATTTCCAGAGAGATCAGGAATCAGATAGCTGTGGGCCTTAAAGATGGCATAAAAGATGGCCTTAGCAGAGTTGCCCAGCGTGGCCGTGCAGCCCCCAGCTGAGGTGTGGCAGTCATCAGTGCAGCCGTCAGCAGCAGCTTCTTGGGGACAGTGCCTTTGGGAGCGGGAATGAGACGCATCAGCACAGAGCCACCGTGCCTGGTCATCTTGCAAGGCTCTTGTTCCCCCAGCGTCCTCTCCACTCAGGCACAGTGGAGAGCTTGCAAGGATGATGGCCCCTCAGATGGCAGTGGCTACCTCCTCAGAGCACTTCACACGCAGGCCAACATGACCACTGTAGTCCCTGATGGCAGCAAATGCCTTGAACCTGGTCCGCTGTCCAGCCTGCATCTGCGCCTGCACTGGCGTCGTCTTCAAAACCTCTTCCTTCAGTGTGGCAAAAAATGTCCTACTTGAAGGAGCTCTGTGGGTGAGACCTCAGTGGAAAGAAGGGGTCACCAAAGAAGGAGGTACTTTTCTCTGAAGGGAGGAGAGGGCTTCCGTAGCCTAGGCAGCTCGTGTCAAGAGCCCAGCTCCAGCCATTACACACATTTGGGGAGTGAACCAGTGGATGGAAGACTTCTCTCTCTCTCTCACTCTCTCTCTCTCTGTAACTTTCAAATAAATAAAATAAATCTTTTTAAAAAAAGCTTATTCTTGGAACCTTACCCATTCATAAACTGTGGACTTGCTAAAATGAAATAGATTCTTTTAAGATTCAAAGTAGCTTGTCTAGTGAGACCTCTTTTTAATGTATCTTCTTGTTAAACTGGACTTATTTAGGGTGTGACTTGAGGTTTTTTTCCAAGATCATCAAAAAGATTTTAAAATATCTAGTTTGGATTAGAAGCATTTGAAGTAGTTATTAAACCCCCAACTTGAGAATAATAGGTGATTTTAGGCTTTGGGCTAGCATCTAACTTTTGTCATAATGTATTCCTGATGTTTTAGTTTAATTTTTCTTTACATTCTCTTCTATAAAAAGCACACTTGTTCTTTCATATCTCAACATTGTGAGTTGTGGATTTTTAAATACCAAATTCCTTAAAACTGAGGCAGAATAAAGCTTTTTTTTCCCTCAAAATTTACTCTTACATCAACTTGCACCATTTAAGAACATCTGAACCAGGGAGCTAGTTGTCTGGGGGAAAGTGGTCAACACCCTGAGCTACCAAAGGTTTCCCATGGATGTGTTCACTCTGTGTTCCAGAATCGCCTGTGTGAGCGCCCCCAGTGTTTACCAGAAGCTCCGAGAGCTGCACAGAGAAGACTTTTCCGTATGCATCTTTGAGTATGACAAAAGGTTTGCCATATATGGAGAGGACTTTATCTTCTATGATTACAATAATCCACTGGATCTACCTGAACACATCCCTGCACATAGCTTTGACGTCGTGGTGGCGGATCCTCCATATCTTTCTGAGGAGTGTCTCAGGAAGACGTCAGAAACCATCAAGTACTTGACCAAGGCCAAGATTTTGCTGTGCACAGGTAGGTGCCACATTTCCTGTCTCCAGGAAGTCCAGGACAGTAGATGTTCAAATCTTAGGTTTTACTTCTAACTGTATAACCTTGACCAAGTGATTTAACCCCTCAGAACTCCAGTTTCCCTATCTGTAATGTGGAACAGAGACCCCCGCCCCACTCGTGAGAATTAAGTGGCACAGTGCAGTCCCCACCAAGTGCTTAACTTGGGACACAGCACACATGAAGGCTCACGCCTGTCAGCTATTGGGTCTTACTTGCCATCACCATTGGTAGCACTAGGATGTGGGCCAAGCTGTACAGCTGATAAGAAATGTTTGGGGTTCAGAGTTAAAGCAGATTGCCTAAGGTTACAGACCAGGCATTAGAGTAGGCTCACTGAAGAAGAGTTTTGACAAAAGTCACAAATTAAAAATGTGTCCTAGTAACTGTGGTTCCAGTATCCACACAAGGCTGAGAGGCCATTTCTTTTTGAAAAATTGGTAAAAACAGAAGAGTTTTCTAACCACATTGATGTACTTTCTTAAGATGACTGTAGTAAAATATGATGTAGTAAAATTTAAGAACCAAACATTACCCACCCTTGGTGGTACCCTGGGAGCCATCACCCATCCTCCCCCTCAGGCCCTGGGGCCACTGCTTCTCCCGGTGTGCCCTGGAGCTGTGGAAGTCTGTTCTTTGGTGCTGTAGGATTTTTCATTTGGTCACAGAAGGAAGTCTTTATTCATACAAATATAACTCACCTAAGCTTATTAACTCAACCCCTGTTTGCTAACAGGTGATCTCAGCCCAGTGGAGTATACATTCAGTTTTAGGGGACAAGTTTCAAAAGCATAACAAAACAGACCAGAGAAATGAAGCGCTAGTTCTGATAGTCTGACAAAGTGTGATAAAGGCAAGGCGAGTGGCTTCCTCACAGCCTGGTGTGTGAGGGCCCTGCAGGAGCTTCATTGGGGCCTGCCAAGGGTCTACCCAGGGGCTGCAGGCCACACTGGGGACAAGGGTCCCTCCCCCCCGCCCCCCAGGCCCTGGTGGGGAGTTGGGATTCAGCACTCCACACGAGGAGAAGATTAAGGATAGACTCTGGGGTTGGTGGTGCACGGCCGGGATTGTTTGCTGTACTCAAGGTGAAAAGAAGAGGGCCCTGACCAGGGCTGGCCGCAGGGAGGGCCTGGGGAGGAGTGGGCCAAACAGAGGAGGGCACGGGGAGGAGTGGGCCAAACAGAGGAGGGCACGTGCTCTTTCGCATCAGCAGAAAAGAGATCAGGAAAGAGGCCCTTGATGCAATGTCGGGAAACCCTAGTTTCTAGTAATTACTTTCGCTGTCTTCTGTGTTCCTTTGTGGCATGTGATCTGCTCCTAAAGTTCTAAGTGCCCCAGCCTTGTGGAGGTAAGAAAAGTATCAATTAGCTAAAAAGACATGGAAAACCAGGTCCTTTGCAATAGTGTAGAAGATAAAACGGGGATAGTTACCGCTGGGTGGGTGGTGCTGTGGACTGCCCGGAGCCCGGAGCCCCTGATCCACGCCAGAGATGCCTGGCCCTGGGCTCCAGCCGGGCCTCTGGCTCTGCACTCACTGCACCTGTTCTCCTCAGGGGCCGTCATGGAAGAACAGGCCGCACAGCTCCTGGGGGTGAAGATGTGCAAGTTCATTCCACGGCACACCCGAAACCTGGCAAATGAGTTCCGCTGTTACGTGAATTTCAATTCTGGGCTGGACTGCGGCCTCTAACTGGCAGAGAGTGACACAATACGGTAAAGGCCCCGGGTGACATTTCCACGTCGTTTTCTCTTCTCAGTCGATAAAAAAGTTACAACCTCCTCCCCTCCCCTCCAGCTGCCCTGGCCTAATTGTCAAAATAAGGGACGCTGCCTCTCATTGTTTCCCTAAGGAGGCATCCTTGGCGCTGGACTGTCTTCTCCGAACTTGAGTTCATGGAATTGGAGTTGGAAGAAATCTGAGAACCTGTCTAATCCACTCTCCTCGTTTAACATAAGAAGTACAGCTTCTTGGCCGCCCAGGGCCTCCTGAATTAGACAGGACCTTGGCCTCTGCCTCAGGCCAGAGGTTCCTGTACCAGGGCTCCTTCTGACTACCCAGCATCCTGAGACTTGCGAGAGCCCCCAGCCCACGCCAGCCCCCAGGAGCAGTGCCGAGTCTCCCTGGCACCGGCGAGTGCGTGAGTGCCCTGGGTTTCTCTCTGCTTCCCAGGTCTGTGGGGCTGACGGCCGTGTGGCTCTGAGTCAGCTGAGAAAGTAGAAGCACCACCACCTGTACACCAAATGCCATAGCCAAAACCAGGGGACTGGGCGCAGGCTACGTTGTCACTGCTCGGCACGTCCGTACCACGCCCGTACCCCAGAGCAGGCAGAAGGAAGGAACGAGGGTTCGCTGCAGCCTGGGGCATCGGGTCCTGGGAGAAGAGCCATCCCCAGAGATCAGACTCTTGCATGGAGAATGGATTCGTGGGTGGCAGGGGTCGGGCTGGGGCAGGGCTGACGGGGACGGGTTCTGTGGTGCTGCGATGCCCGTGTCTTGTGTGTGGTGGCCGTTTCACAGATCCACACGCATGACAGCAGTGCCTGCCCAGCTGGCGAGGGCTGCACCAGTGCCGGTTCCCTGCTCTGCCATTCGCTAAGATGCACCCTCAGGCAAAACTGGGCCAAGGGAGCAACAGCCCGTCCTGTAAACACTGGCAATGTCTTGGAAATCTGCAATCATTTTAAAGTAAAATCTTCCTCAGAACTTAATGTCCCGGGGCCTGCTTCGCAGCATGACGGGTACAGCTGCTGCCTGTGACACCAGCATCCCAATGGGTGCCAGTTGGTGTCCCAGCTGCTCCACTTCCAATGCAGCGCCCTGCTAATTCACTAGGGAAAAGCAGCAGAAAATGGCTCAAGTGCTGGGGCCCCTGCACCCATTTTGCAGACCCAGATGAAGCGCCTGGCTCCTGGCTTCAGCCTGGCTCAGACCTGGCCATGGCTGCCATCTGGGGAGTGAACAAGCAGATGTCGGCTCTGTCTGTCTCTGTGTGTGTCTCTCTCTCCCCTCTCTCTTTCAAATAAATAAGTGAATCTTAAAAAAAAAAAAAAAAAAAAGCCTCAATGTCCATTTCTCTGGGGAAGGATTATGCTTCCTCAACTCCTGGGATGCTTCAGCCACAAAATGTGAGAGGCAGTGACCCGTGTCAGCTCCTCCCCGAGCTCCGTCCCCCTCAGACAAGTGACCTGCAGTGCTCCCGGCAGAAGCCAGCCTGGCTGTCCAGTCCTCAACTAGGGCCCGGCCACAGCTGGTGTGCAGGTGACACAAGGCGAACGGGAAATGAGCCTTGGTAGCTGAATGTCAAAGACCCCGGATGCGTCACCCACTGCAGGAAAACCCGCTGTCCTGACAGACGCCGAGAGCAGGCCTGGGACTCAGAACTGGTGCTTGGGAACCGGGAAGACCTGCTGTCGTGCACATCTTGGACCTTGGCTGTCATACATCTGCATTTTTTTTTGAGACATATTTTTATCAGTGTATCAGTACCTGACAAAAATTAAGTATTCATTTAAAAAATTTTTTTTTAAGATTTTTTGATTGATTTGAAAGGCGGAGTGAGAGAGAAATGGAGATGGCTCATTCACTCCCCAAATGGCTGCAACTGCCAGGGCTGGGACAGGATCTTTGTCCAGAATTCCCACATAGGTGTCAGGGACTCAAGTAGTTGGGCCATCATCCACTGCTTTCTCAGGCTCTTTAGCAGGGAGCTGGATCAGAAGCAGAGCAGCCAGGTGTCAAAAGGCACTCCAGTAGGCACGTGGGTGTTCCGAGTGGCGGCTTACCCCAATGCCCCACATCACCCACTTTGATGTTTATTCTTTTGAAAATAACACCTACTTTATTATTTCCTTCTGAATGGATTGACATGTTAAAAACTACCTAGGCCAGTCAAGGAAGGATAGACTTTTCTCTGAAGGGAGGAGAAAACTTCCACTTTGTTGTTTATGGCCCTGTCTAAATACTGACTTTGTGGACTCAAGAGGCTTCCATAGCCTAGGCAGCTCATGACAAGAGTCTTGGATGATTACTGACGTCATAAATAAATAAGAGTGTCAATTGTCAAATCAACAACAGGAGTCACTGTACGCTTGCTCCCCATGTAGGACCTCTGTCCTTAACGAGTTTTACTATGAGAATTAATGGTAAAACTTGTCTCCAAACAGTACTTTATACTTTGTGTGTCTGTGTGGGTGCAATCTGTACCTATGAAATTTGTATTCATTAAATAAAAGCTTTATTTTTTTTTAAAGATTTATTTATTTGAAAGTCAGAGCTACACAGAGAAAGAAGGAGAGGCAGAGGCGGGGGTGGGGGTGAGGGTGGGTGGGACAGAGGTCTTCCATCTGCTGGTTCACTCCCCAAGTGGCCAGAACAGCCAGAGCTGAGCCAATCTGAAACCAGGAGCCAGGAGCTTCTTCCGAGTCTCCCACACAGGAGCAGGGGCCCAAGGACTTGGGCCATCTTCTGCTGCTTTCCCAGGCCATAGCAGAGAGCTGATTCGGAAGTGGAGCAGCCGGGACCCGAATCCGTGCCCATGTGGGATGCTGGCACTGCAGGTGGTGGCTTAACCCATTCCACCCCGTGCCAGCCCCATAAAAGCTTTCTTTAAAAAAAAAACAAAAAAAACTACCTAGGCCAATAACAATGTTAGCTTAAACAAACAAAAAAACGCACACACACATATAGAAATATACCATCTGACTTGGGAATTGTGAAATCAGACCCGCTGTCCCATAATCTAACATTTATTTGAAGCGAGGCCTTTTTCTTCAGGGTGAGGGAGGGGGAGGGGAAGCTTGGCTCACATCAAAACGTCTACAAGTCTCAAATTAGGAGGCTTGTGCACTGAGGTAACCGCATTTTTGTTTAATAAGCAGCTGTCAAGTGCTTCATGACTCTGGACCCCTGATTTTGATTTTAGCAAAACGGCGTACTCATGTGATCCACCTCTGGATTTCAGAAAAGCTCTGCAGCTGCGCCCCTGCGGCCTTCAGAAAAGCCTCATGAGGCCTGGTGTGCTCCTGGGGGCCAGTCAGGCGGCGGGCGCCCGCACAAGGTGTGCAGGCAGCCAGGCTGGGGCGAGCCTCTCCCTTTGGCCTCTGACTACGCGCCCCATTGTGAACGCAGATGCGGGTCCAACTTTGTGAACCTTGGAGAGGCTCCTTGGCCTCCTCCACCTCACAGAGGACTGCACAGGCCGCAGAGAACACTTACCTAGACTTGTCTGTGAGTCCTGCCCGGTCCAGATTTGCACCCAACTAACCATCCACGAGCCGGGAGACAGGGTGAGCATTGCGATGTTGCCAACAGAACCTGCAGGTCCCCCTACAACTAGCTGTTGTGGGGCAGAGGGTGCCTGGACAGCAGGAGCAGACAAAGGCCCAGGCAGCTATAAAATCATTTTCACACAGGAAGCAAAAGCGCCATTTTGCCCGTGTCCTGCTGAGAGAAAAGCAGTAAAAGCAGCAGCTTGGGTAATTGGCCCCTGAGTGGACCTGCTTGTATTTGCAGAATGCCTGTTAACTGCTCCTCCCAAATGCTCCTCTGTTTGTACAGAAATGCAGTAATCCTTCTACAGCCCCCGCAGCCCCTCCACCCCAGGCGTAGTCCCGAGTCCTAGCTGTATTTTCAAGGGTCCTTGAAAACTTTCTGGAAAATGCATACTGGGAAAAACTATCTGGATTTCAATTTTTTTTGCACCGAAATAAACATTTTTTAATTTCATTTTTCCATGAACTGTTTGAAGTACTTTCAATTGTTTTTCCCGTATTTATACACTTACGATAAAATTAATTTATAAATCAGTCACAGATGAACAATGAGAAGTTATTACAATATACTTTAATAATGTTATGTGAATGTGCTCACCTTCAAAATATCTCGCGGGCACTGTGGATACTAGCAGCCTCAAAATATAATTTATTTTTATTAACTCAAGAACTCTCATCTTGGGGCAGGCATTGTGGTGCAGCTGGGTAAGCTGCCTTCTGGAACACCTGCGTCCCATATGAGACTGCTGGGTTCGGGTCCCAGCTCTGATTCCAGTCCAGCTTCTAACGTGTCCCGGGAGGCAGCAGATGATGGGCCAAGTGTTTGGGCCCCTGCCACCCCTGTGGAAGACCTGGACTGAGTACCAGGCGCCTCGCTTTGACCTTGTTCAGCCCTAGCAGTTGGAGGCATTTGAGGAGGAAGCCAGCAGATAGAAGATCTCGCTCTGTCACTCTGCCTTCCAAATAAATATTGAAAAATTTTTTGACACCAAAACTTATCTTTTAATTCGATTTCCCATGGACCTTTTTAGTACACATAGAATACTTCAGGAAGAGAACTGAGGGGAGTCTTCCGAAGGTCAAGGGTAATGTGCTGTTAAAACAGAAATAACGTAACGAACTGGTAAGATGAAAGAGGGCCGGGGTTTGGCACAGAAGTTACCGCACCACTTGAGACACCTGCATCCCGTCCTGGAGAACCCAGCTCTGCTGCCGATTCCAGCGTTCTGACAGCGCACACCTGGGACTCAGCAAGTGATGGCTCCGTTAGCTGGGTCTCTGCCACTCACGTGGGAGGCCCAGGTTGAGTTCCCAGCTCTGGGCATTGGCCTGGCCCAGCCCCGGATGTTGTGGGTATTTGGGGGAGGGAACCAGTGAATAGAGTTTGAGTCTTATCCCCAGTTGTCCCCAGGAGCAATATCTGATGATGTGAGTGTCATAGATTCTTTGAGGAACCAGATGGGTGCTCAACAGATACTTATAGTAGATGAGCATTCCACTTAGAGAAAACAAGACACGCAAAGCTTGCCCTTCTGGGTCTAGAATGGAATGCTAATTTCTTCCATTGGGTATGTGATGTGATACCTTTTTGGAAAAAAAAAATTTTTTTTTAAGCACATTTGAGAGAAAGGAAGAGAGAGTTCCCATCCACTGGTTCATGCCCCAGATGCCTGCCACACACATGACTGGGCCAGGCCAAAGTCTGGAGCTGAGCATTCAGGTCTCCCATGTGGGTAGGCGGGATCCAATTATTTGAGCCCTCACTGCTGCCTCCCAGGGTCTGCATTAGCAGGAAGCTGGAGTCAGGAGCCAGAGCCAGGGATTGAACCCCGGCACTCTGATGTGGGAAGCAGGCATCTCAACCACTCGGCCAGATGCCCACTCTCAGGAGTGTGCTGCCTTTTATAACTCGTACAATAAATAAAATAGTGACGTTTCCCCCATGCAGATAGTTGCTCTCCTTAATTCCATGTCCTCTGACTCTTGCACTATTTATATTTGAGGAGGGCCTGGAAAATGTGACACAACAGCGGGATGACTGAACACAATTACTCACATCGCTGGCGTGCAAGGCTGTTTTTCTTCCACTAGGGATACCATTGTTCTTCCAGTAAAATGCCCCAGTCTACACAGCTAGCCAGAGCTGTGGCTTTCACTTTTGAACTTTTTATTTGGGCGATCTGGATTCCTTTTGGTGCTGTGTTTTCCACGTGGGCTTTCTGTCAGTGTTTGGTAGGAGTTGAAGGCTCTCCGAGTGACCCTAATGTCCAGATCAAACTAAGGCTGAACGTGATGTGGGGAAGCCAACCCTCTGAGGACAATGCATGTGGACAAAGGGCACTTCTTGGTCTTGGTTGGAGGTGTCACCAACAATCAGAGACTGACTTTCTGTGACTAGCTGATCCAAGACCAAATCAAACAGTGGTTAATTTAAACCTCAACTATAAAAATCAAACTAAAGCAAATACTTTAGTTAACATACAAGGAGACTTCAAAAAGCTCATGGAAGAATGGAATGAACAAGTTTGTTCTGTTCCAAAAATTTTGAGATCCATTTTTCATAATATACATTTTCGCAAACATTAATTAATTAATCTATCTGAAAGAGTTACAGAGACAGAGATCTTCTAACTGCTGGTTCACTCTCCAAAAGGCCACAATGACCAGGTCTGGGCCAGGCTGAAGCCAGGAGCCAGAAGCTTCATCCCGGTCTCCCACATTGCGTGCAGGGACCCAAGCACCTGGGCCATCTGCTGCTGCTTTCCCAGGTGCATCAGAAGTGGAGCAGCCAGGACTCAAACCAGTGCCCAGATGGGGTGCCGGCGCCACAGGCAGAGGTTTAACCCGCTGCACTATGCCAGCCTTTTTCATTAACTTTTTGAAGACCTCTTGGATTTCATTTTTTTTTTTTTGCACCAAAATGAACTTATTTTTTTTGCACCAAAATGAACTTATTTTTAATTCCATTTTCCACAGACTTTTTAAAGTACTCTCATGTTGTTGACCTGAAAAATCATCCAAACCCACCTAAGTAGACTCCACAGAGAAATACAGGCAAGAAACCGCTCCCTCCGTGGCTTCAATGACTTACAATGAACAGGTAACTTTTACAGACGATGGTGTTAGGAACAGGCTTTCAACCTCAAGAAGAGAGGGCTCAGCCCCCGCTGCGTGAGCAGGGACAGGCCTCCGAGCTGCTCGCTGGCCACTCCCGCTTCCTCCCTCCGCACGCAGGCCTGATCCTGCCGTCCTTTAACTCAGCCAGTGCTTGCTTGGACTTTCCCTGGGAACTGGCAAAAATGGTCCGTTCCACCTCTTACCTTACCTCGCCACTGCTTGTTTGCACATTGACCCCAGCAGCTTTCCAAAGTGAAAACAACACAAAAGCTCCAGTTATGTAAGTCTGAGACCACTTGTGTCTATCAAAAATAAAACCGAGTTTGAGCCTTCTGGTATTCCTGGCCCTTTGCGGTCCCAGGAGCCCCCCATGCCTCCTCCTGCTGATTGGTGGCCTGTCCATTTCCTGTCCGCCACGGTGGACCTGCTGAAATGGAGACCAAGGCCCAGCGCCAGCTGAAAAGTTTATCCAAGGACTCCAATTATGCTCCTAAAACACCCTCCCGGAGGAAATGAAGGCCAGCTTTATAGAATGTTTCTATGTTCAGTAAAAATCTTTTAATGTAGTTACTCTACATTGCTAATACAAAAATACTTTGTGCCCCACTCAAAACAGCTGAATAAAAAAAGCATGTAGTCTCTACTTCTTAAAACAAAAAAATATTTTTTTTAAGCTCATCTGTTTCTACCCCCAGCTGGAGGGAGCGCCTTGGCCCAAACACAGCCACGCAGCACCCGTGCCCTGGGGCGGGAGGCGGCCCTGGAGAAGCCCCCCCCCCCCCCGCCCGCCCCCAGTGCCCTGTGCCGCAGCGCTGTGTGCACTTCCGCCTGCCCGAACACCAGCGAGGGTGTGCAGCCGGCCCGCTACTCTAGGAGGAAGCCTCTCTGCTTGCGTTTGGTTTGTGGTCTTCAGGGGTCGCCAGCCAAGCCCTCCCCCGGAGGTGGCCGTCGCGGCCCTCAGGAGCTGGCCGGCTGGTCGTTGGGGCTGAGCAGCAGCTTGGCGCCCTGCTTGTCCATGCTGGAGTTGAGGCTGTCCGCGTCCTTCTCCTGCTCGGGGACGCAGGTGCAGCCCACGGGGATGGTGACGTAGTCCTCGGTGTAGACGGCGCGGCCGCCGGCGCAGGCCGGGGTGCGGCGCAGCACGACGGTGGGCATGTACACCGGGGTGCTGCGGAAGTGGAAGTCCTCCTCCCCGAAGAGCCCCGTCAGGCAGCCGCGGCACAGGCAGTAGGCTTCGGGCAGGTACCTAGGGTACCTGGCCGGGTCGTAGGAGATTCTGCAGGGGGAGAGCAGGGTTCGGCTTAGGCTTGGGCGCCCAGGACCCAGCATGAGCCGAGAAAGGGCAGCCACGGCAAGATGTGTGCTTCTGAGACCGGGAAAGACAGGGCAAATAGTGGCGATGACTGATGACACCCAGCGGGGGAAGGCAGGGCCTGGCATTTCATCCTGGACCCCGTGGCCACCTGGGGGTCTCAGTTTATCTGCACTAAAACACATAAACCATAGCGCTCTGGGGTGTTTGGAATGGTGGACAGTGTTTTAAACAGACCCTGAGCCTGTCTCTCAAGATACCCTCAAAATGTACACTGATGTAAGTGGAAAGATAAAAAGTCCATGCAACCTCCACCTGCCCTGACAGGTGGCCGCCGGAACCCACTAGATTGGGATCAGGCACCCTGTCTGCCTGGGGCTACAACTTAGACCCAGAGGGGCCACCCCTGTGACACGCCACCCCCCCCCCCCCCCCGCCTAGCCTGCAGCCCCAGGTGGATCCCCAGGAGAGGTGGGTCAGGCCGGCCCAGGGCAGGCAGGACAGACAGCAGCCACCTGGCCAGAGCCAGCAGCAAAGGCAGCTGCAGGACATCTGTAGTCATAAGGTGGCCCCCGCCCCTCCATGTGTCAGGGTTGATGCGCCTTCCTCTGTGAAGAGGCCCAGGCTGCCGCAGGCGAGCACAGGACTGGCCAGCCTGGGATATGCGAGAAGTGAAGAATGGCTTAAACTCCATCAACTGCATCCTCCAAGTCTCCCTACTTCGTGGTCAGGTGCCAAGAACCCACTGTCAGCATCTCCCAGGCAGCCTGCAGTCACAGTACCAGGGCAAACAGGAACTTGGCTGGGCCTGGGGGGAGGGGCGGGGCTCCCTGGGAGCATGCCACCCACCACAGCCACCCACACACCCCACAGACTTAAGGAGGGGAATTAATTGGAATCCAGGGCTCCTCTCAAATATCCCCTTGCAGAAGGTAGCGTGGGACCACCATGACCGAAATTCTCGTTTCCATGAATCTTTCCTTTCCAAACGTGATTCTCTTGTGAATCTGCTTCTCCGTCTTCTGGAGTGGAGTCTTAGAGGCCCTAAACTCTGAATCACCACCTTGACCTCTACCAGGTCAAGCACAAGTGCCATCTTCGCAGACCCTCAGGGTGCCAGCTGGGAAGCCCCATGAGGGTGTGGACTCAGCCGAAGCCTCTGGGCGCAGTGAGGCAACACCTGCTTGAAGAATTTCACAGCCTAGAACCTGCAGGGTGCACCTGTCACCTGGGACAGCAGGGAAGCGGCATGGCCCCCACAGCCCACTGGGGGCGCTGGAGAGCAGCTCAGCCCAGCCCAGATCTCCCAGGCCCTCACAGCTGATGACCAGGCCCCATCAACAAAGTTTACAGCTCAGAAGGGTGTTCAGGCCCTCAGGTTACAGAAGGGGTGGGGCATCTGAAGGTGTGCCGGGACAGTGGTGAGGCTTGGTCTGAGAGAGAAGTTGCCGGAAGGAGGGCGGGTAAGGCAGAAGCTTGAGTAAGGGGCTCCCAGGATGTGGGGGTGGAAAGCGCAGTTAGATCGGGGGTGATGGCAGTGCGGAGTGTGGCTCTCGGGGGCCAGGTGGGCTGGGCGGCACGCAGTTTTCTTCTTCCCTTTGGGCTCAGCATCTGTAGCCGGGGTGGGGACTACAGCGAGACTGCGCAGTAAGCGGTCTGGAAACCATTCCCTCAACAACAGAAGCCTTCAGTGCCAACTGTGTGCAGGAAGAGCTGAGATGACCCACAGGAGAGCCCAGGGGGAGCCCAGGCAGAGCAGGAGGTGCCCATGCGGGCCTGGACTCTGATGGAGGCCAGCCTCCCACTGGAGCATCCTGAACCCGAGAGAGATTCCGCCATGCACATGGCCGCTGTCTGCATGTGGCGGACAAGGTCAGAAGCCAAGGCAACCGTGACTCTGAGGCTTCCGGCTGGGGTGACCAAGCTGGGGGAGCGCCCCTGGGGGTGGAGCCCCTGCCACCGTCTTTTTGTGCTGTTCTTGGGAGGATGGATGACAGTGGCGGGGCCCCAAATGAAGGCTCATAAATCATGCAAGATGCAAACGTCATCCCTGAAGCAAAAACACACGGGCCGACTTTGTCCATTTACACTTCCCGCGGATGCACACACAGAGCTGGGAACACCTCTAGGCTGCTCCTGGCCCGTTTGCTTCATGCTGCCGTCAGGGGCTTGGGAAGCAAAGTGAACCGGGGAGCCCTGCAGGACTGCAGAGGCTGTCCCCTCACCTCTGCAATGCTGTCCGACTCCTCTGTGAAGCTTCACTCTTAACCCCCAGCTTGGGTAAACTGAGGCACAGGTGCCCTGGCGCACCCCTCGTGCTGCAGTGTTTGCGTCAGGAAAAACCCCCACTCCGTGCCTGTGCCGCCCAAGGCCTCCAGCTCTGTCCTCACCCCAGTGCCTTCCCAGCATCCCCCTCACGGTCGCCTCCGCTCCAGGCGGCCCCGCGTGGAATGTTCCTTGACAAGCCCACAGCTTGCTCAAGATGCCCTCTCCCCGAAACATCTGTCAGCTCGCAGAGGCCCTGCCTCCTTTTAAGGTCTCAGTGGTGTAAGAATTAAACTTAACCCTTCTCTCCCCACGATCTCCCAACACAAGCTGCCTCTGTGACAGCCTCCGTGGCTGAGCTGACCCACCCGGCCTCTCCACAGAGCAAGATTTAGGAGCTGGGCACCTGGGGACGGGGAGTCGGCCATGTCAGCTTCCTGGCCCCACACCTGTAGCTGCTCCTGGCCCCGCTTCCTCCATGCTGCCCTCAGGGGCAGCGGCAGATCAGCAGCAGACCCCACTTACCACTTGAGAGGAACAAGACATTCTAAGTAATTCGGATTTATAAGCTCTCCTCCACTTTCCTCGTTTATCCGACAAATATCTGGAGGGGCTACGGAGGGAACACACTGTGCTGTCCAGGGGTTGTGAGCTGGGGGACGGATGTGCACACAGTCAGAGTTCACCAGCCTGGGCCATTCCTGGGTGGCTTCATCCAGGGGAGGAGAGGGCAGAGGTCAAAGTACAGGGTGGAGGGAATATGTTACAGCCGGGAAGCCCCAGAGGTGGGAGCAGAGAGCCACATGATGGCCTTCTATCCGTAGCCAGGAATTTGGATCTGATGCTGGAAGCAACAGGAAGTGGTCAGATGGAATTTCAGAAGGAGCCCTTGGGCCGGTGCTGTGGCATAGTGGGTTAAAGCCCCAGCCTGCAGCACTAGCATCCCATACGGTGTTGGTTCGAGTCCCGGCTGCTCCACTTCTGATCCAGCTCTCTGCTATGGCCTGGGAAAGCAACAGAAAATGGCTCAGGACCTTGGGCCCCTGCACCCACGTGGTGTGGGAGACCCGGAAGAAGATCCTAGCTCCTGGCTTCGGATTGGCACAGCTCTGGCCATTGTAGCCAACTGGGGAGTGAACCAGTGGGTAGAAGACCTCTCTCTCTGCCTCTCCTTCTCACTCTGTAACTCTTTCAAATAAAGAAGTAAATCTTAAAAAAAAAAAAAAAAAAAAAAAAAAAAAAGAGCCCTGTGACCACGGTGGGGAAGAGGGCCAGGGCCCAGATGGAGGTCTCACTGCAAGATCACTGTTTCGGGTTCTCGGCACATACGTGGTGGTAAATACAGGTCGTAGGAGTACAGGAAGGCAGAGGAACTTGACTCAGACTGAACCCGTTTTCCTGATGTGCAGTGAGGAAGGAACATGGTGAGTGATGCTTTACAGGCCTAACCAACAAGCCACAGAATGGGGGTGCCGTGGTTCGCAAAGTGAAAGCTGCTGCCCCACGGAGCGGGGTTGACACGCAGTGGTGGTGGCGGGGGCGGGACGTCTGAGCGGTGCTTACGTCACGGAGGCAGCAGCTGCCCTCGTAGATTCATTCTGCTCTCAGAGGCCTGGGCACCCTTCTGGGCCTGGACCAGGTACCAGGAGAACGAGTTACTACAAAACGAGGCTGCCGCTGTCTCATCTCTGCGCACGCTTTGCCCTTCTGCTTTCTGCCACGCCACGCCACGCACGGCACAGCATGGCACGGCACGGCACGGCTAAATACTGTACGGCCCTGGCCAGGTGCTGAGCTGATGCTATCTCCATGCTCCTGGCCTTCCCAGCCTGCAGATCCACGAACCCAGTAAACTCCTTTATAATGCACCCCGTCTCAGGTACTGTTGCAGCCACCAAGGACCAAGGCACTAGGAAACTCAGCAGCATTTTTGCTCCAAGAGAAAAACAAGAGGGAGGAACTGACAGACTGAAAGCTCACGAGCGAAGGCGCACACAGCCCCCGACAGGCAGCAGGCCTGGCTGACACCTGCTCTCCACGACAGACTGAGCCCTGCCACTCCCAAGCGTCGATGTCTGGACGATCGCTTACGTGGTCACTTCAAAACACGTCACTGCTGGCATCTGGCCTAGCATTAAGACGCCCGTGCCCCACACTGGAGTACCTGGATTCGGCATCCAGCCCGGTTCCCGACTCCGGCTTGCTGCCAATGCAGGCCCCGGGAGGAGGTGGTGATGGCTCAAGTAATTGGGTCCCTGCTACCCATGTGGGAAACCCGGACTGGGTTCCTGACTCCCAGCTTCAGCCCAGCCCTGGGTGCTATGGGCATCTGGGATATGAGCCAGCAGATGGCACCCCTCTCTCTCTCTCTCTCTAATAATTCACAAAGAAAATTTAAAAACCAAACACACCAAACCCAAACCCAAGGTCATTCCATAAAACAACCGACCACTCGAGAGGGGCAGGCACTGGCTGTAGTGGCTAAGACACACGGGGGACGCCCATGTCCCGTATCGGAGTGCCTGAGCTCCAGCCCCAGCTCCCTGCTAAGGTGTACCCTGGGAAGTAGCAGGTGGTAACTCAAGTAGTTGAGTCCTTGCTTCCCGTTTTGGGGACCTGGATTGAGTTCCCGGCTCCTGGCTTTGGCCTGGCCCAGCCCTGGTTGTTGTGGGCATTTGGGGACTGAGCCAGCAGATGAA